CACACACACGCACACACACGCACACACACACGCACACACACGCACACACACGCACACACATGCGCACACGCACACACACACACACACGCACACACATACACACTCGAACACACACATGCACACACACATACACGCGCATGCACGCACGCACGAACACATGCACACACACACACACACACACAAACAAACTCACGCATGCACAAACACACACACACACCTGACTGCGGAGAACACGACCGCGTCCGCCTCTCGCCCCTGGAACGCGTCCACGCTGGACACCACCAGGTCAACGCCAGCTGGCAGCCAGCCGTCGCCCAGCACGCGCAGCGCGCGCTCCAGCACCCGCACCTGCGGGCAGAGTGCGGGATGAGTGGGCCTGCTAATCCCCAGGGCCACACAGGCGTGGCCCATCGGGATGCTCACATCAAACAGTGAGTGGGTGACGACCTTTCCCAAGCATTGCCTCGGCAACGAGAACTATCTGATGACAGAAACAAGGCAAGAGGTGCACGTTTGCTGATCCAACTTGGAGAGTGAAAACGCAAAACCCAGCGCCGGACGGCCAGCCGCCCGTTTTTACACAAATACCTGGCCGCGGTAGGGCGTGAGCAGGGCGATGCTCTTCACGTCGCCGCCGGCCGCGAGCGCCTCCACCGCGCGCAGCGCCGCGCGCGCCTCGTCCACGTTCTGGAAGGACCCGTCGCGCCGCCCGCCGCCGCCGCCGTCGCGCTCGGCGAGGGCCTGGGGGAGGGCGCGGGGGGAGCAGGTGCGAGCTCCAAGTGTGTGCCGCGTGCCAGCGGTGTGGCCGCAGAGTTCGTGCGGCAGGTGAGCTCCAGGAGCGCCACTGCCTTGGCGCGGAGCTGCGCAGGGCTCGAGGCCGCGTGACCCGCGCCCTACCCCTCACAAAGTGGCGCCGCCCCCTCGCCCGCTGGCAGCCGGCCGCGCCCTCCACCCACTCCTCCGCATGCCCCGGCCCCCTACACACACACACACACACACACACCACACACACACACACACACGCACGTGCACATGCACGCGCGCACACACATACACACACAAACACACACACACACACACCTGCGCCGCCACGCGCTGCGCGCGCGAGCCCCCCTGGTCCGCGCGCTCCTCCCGCCCCTCCACCGCCAGCACCGCCAGCGGCGCCGAGGGGTCCGGCCACCGCAGGCCGCGCGCGGGCGGCCGCTGCGCCGCGGTGACCCCAGAGCGCAGCTTCCCCTCGTAAAAGTGCTGACTAAGGGGGTTAGGTGGCGCGGGGGGTTCAGGGTTTGGTCGGGTCCGGCGGTTTGCTGTTGTTTTTGTGGGTGGGATTTGGCCTGCCGAGCAGCAAGCAGCACCCAGGAGCAACCATGGGGGCGGACGCGAGCCGCCGGGCCGGCGCGGACAGACGCACACTCGCCAGTGCAACGGGCGCGTGCATGCGCCCAGGCCACCCTTGATCCAGACGATCAATCGGCGGGGCCCCAAGCCGCGTCTTTCCCGAGACCGGCGCCCCCATAAGACGCGGCGCCCCGCGTTCGGCCCATCCCCCACCCCACCGACCCCTCCCTGGCCGGATGCCCCATGCAGCAACGCCCCCTGGCC